TCCAAGACAGTTGATCGACTCACCCATCTCTGAGAAGCTACTGGTATTAATAGTTGCTGATAGAAGGAGGTAAGTGATCTTCAATGGTCTAGCCAACAGTAAGTTGCTCATGCTCCAGTAAATAACCATCCCCAGCCTACGCTTATGCAAGCAACCCTAATGAAACCGAGTGGTCACAAAACTACAAAACAAAGACAAGACATGAAAATAGGAGGGGTACTTGGTAGTGGGGAGGGAATGAGGGAGAGTAATAGAGGGTGAAACAATGGATATACATGAATAAAATTGTCAGAGAATAATATATAAATAAATAAACAACCTCAACAGTCATGGTAGTGCACACCTTTAATCTCAGCACTCAGGAGGCCAAAGTAGCAGATCTCTACAAATTTGAGAACAGCCAGGTTTACATAGTGAGTTCCAGGCCAGCCATGGCTACATAATGAGACCCTTTCTCAAGGAAGAAATGAATGGATGAATGAAAACATTTATGAACCAAATTTCTGGTCCTAAGATCTGCCTGAGTGTACCTCCCTTCTATTTCTCTACTATTGGCCTAGGCTGGCCTCCAACTCATTATATGGCCAAAGATGACCCTGAACTTCCGATCCTCCAGGTTCTACCTCCCAAATGCTATGATTATAGGTGTGTGTCACCATAAACAGTTTTTGTGGTACTGGGTATCAAACACATGGCTTCCTGTGTGCTAGGCAAGCCTTCTACCAACTGAGCTACATCTGCAGTCCTGAATCTGACAACCCTTAAACCCACTCTTAGGAGAAAAGGTGCACGCAATCAGCCGAAGTCTTAGCTTTCTGCATGAGAAACAGAGTTTCTGGAGCTGGGATTCAATGTTCTTTTCCCCAGCAGCTCAAGAGTCATTATCAAGGTATGTCCTTTGTCCACAGGCCAACCAGAGGAGAGCAGCAGTAGCAGGCTACCACAGCAGAGTGTGTCTCCACAGTCAGAGCAGGAAGTTGTGGCTAGAATTGTTCAGTAGGTTCTGGTTGAGCATTGTCTAACAAGGGATGGATATTCTTTATAAATATAAAGTTGTGGGGAGGCATCAGGTAGATGAGGGAGCGAGGGTATGGCTGAGGGACTGGACTTTGAATGCTGTGGTCAGGAAATGTCCTTGGAAGAGACAATGTTAACAGAGGCTGGGATGAATAGTATGAGGGATTGTGGGTAAAGAAACATGGCAATCTGAGGTATGGAAGAACACCATGGTGGCCCTGAGTGTTCAAGGAGTCAGATACACAAAGAGCTTTGTTTATTATTGCTGTTAACTGATGATGAAAAGCAGCAAGGCAGCAGTTAGTAAATAGTCTGACTGGTGAGCACTTTGGTATTCTGTTCATTTATCAAAATAACAGTAGTGAGTTAACCCCTAGGGCCCATGAGTTCCCCAGTCATGGGTCTCAGTTGTAGCTAGAGTTTTCCTGCCTGGCCCACAGTCAGGACAAATCTCTCTCACCTGCCAGTCCCACAGCTGCTCAGACCCAACCAAGTAAACACAGAGACTTATATTGGTTACAAACTGTATGACCGTGGCAGGCTTCTTGCTAACAGTTCTTACAGCTTAAATTAATCCATTTCCATAAATCTATACCTTGCCACGTGGCTCGTGGCTTACCGGCATCTTCACATGCTGTTTGTCATCGTGGCAGCTGGCAGTGTCTCCTTCTGCCTTCCTGTTCTTTCTTTTCTCCTCTCTGTTAGTCCCACCTATACCTCCTGTCTAGCCACTGGCCAATCAGTGTTTTATTTATTGACCAATCAGAGCAACACATTTGCCATACAGAACATCCCACAGCACTCAGTCAGATTTACAATGTCAACATTCTATTTTCTACTGTGGAGTGAGCCTTAAATCCAATCAGAAAGCACTTGGTTACCCCTATAGCTCATGCCACTACTGCATCCACAGGCAGATCTTACATTTCTGGTCATTACTGTACCTCACAGGCTTCACAGCTGGCTAAGACTGTTGATGACCTTTTCCTCCCCACAGCCTGCATACCATCTTCCTGTACTATGAAAGCTAGTCACCAAGGAGAAGCTTCTCTGCCAGTACCCATTTGATTTCTCATGCCCTGTGGCTAAAGTGTGTAGTATCTTTAGCAACAGGGTCTTACCATCAAATTCTGGTGGACAACCAGTACACTGGCAATAGCCTGCTTTGTTGGATGGGGTTTCTGGGACATCCCATAACAAGCTTTTTTATATGGGTGCTTAGGGTTGAACTCAGGTCCTAATGGTTGTTTGATCAACATTTTAGAGATTGAGTTATCTCCCCAGGACCTTCTTGTATTTAAAAAAAATGGTTATGGGGTTGGGCAGGGTGGTTCATACCTTTAATCCTAGTACATAGAAATAAAGTGGCTACTGACATACTTTAATTTTTAAAAGTTTTATTTTATGTGTGTGAGTATTTTGCCTATATGCATGTATGTAGACCATGTACATGCCTGGTGCCTGCAGAGGTCAGAAGAGGCTGCCAGATCCCCTGGAACTGGAATTAAGGATGGTTATGAACCATCATGTGGGTGCTGGGAACTGAATGCAGGTCTTCTGCAAGAGCAGCAAGTGCCGCTGAGCCCTCTCTTTCAACCCCTAGAGTATTTTAAACTGCATATGGGCTAGGGCGTAATCACTCAGTAGTAAAGCACGTGCATTGCATGCATGGAGCCATGGATTTTAATCCTCGTCATCAGAAACTACTAACAAGGAAAAATGAAACTGTACATGTGGCCCACACTTTACATTTGTTTGTGTGCATGTGCATTTGTGCCTTGGTGTGCATGTGGAGATCAGAAGACAGGACAACTTCTGGGAGTTGGTTCTTTTTCTACCATGGGTAGGTATCCAACTCCAGTCTGTAGACTTGTTGGTCCTTTGGCCTGCTGAGCCATCTCATCTGCCCTGGCTGATACTTTACTTCTATGGAACAGCACTGGTTGTGGTGATATTGTGTTCCTCAATATATCGTGCACCCTAATAAATTTATCTGGGCTCAGAGAACAGAACAGCCACTAGACAGACATAGAGGCCAGAAAGACATGGTGGCACTCACACCTTCTGGAGGCAGAGATCCATCCGGATCTCTGTGAGTTCAAAGCCACATTGGAAAGAGCCAGGCATGGTGACTTGCGCCTTTAATCCCAGGAAGTAAGGGCAGAAAGCAGAAAGGTATATAAGGCACGAAAACCAGGAACTAGCCTGGTTAAGCTTTTAGACGTTTGAGTAGCAGTTCAGCTGAGATTCATTCTGGATGAAGACTCAGAGGCTTCCAGTCTGAGGAAACAGGATCAGCTGAGGAATTGGCGAGGTGAGGCTGTGGCTTGTTCTGTGTCTCTGGTTTTCCAGCATTGACCCCAGTACCTGGCTCCAGGTTTGTTTTTATTAATAAGAACTTTTTTTTTTTTTTTTTTTTGGTTTTTCGAGACAGGGTTTCTCTGTGTAGCTTTGCGCCTTTCCTGGAACTCACTTTGTAGCCCAGGCTGGCCTCGAACTCACAGAGATCCGCCTGGCTCTGCCTCCCGAGTGCTGGGATTAAAGGCTTGCGCCACCACCGCCCGGCTGAGAACTTTTTAAGATTCATGCTACAACTGGTCATCTAGAGACCCAAGTTCTGTCACAAACTCACCTTAAGTGAGTCTCGGACTTCTGGTTTCTGCTCTACCTTTAAGAGGCTCAGATGTCTCTTCTGCCCTCACAACAAGAAACAGACAATAAAAATAAAAACCTATAGAACTGATTTCAGAGGACAAAGTGCTGCTCTCCAAACCAGAGAGCAGATACTGAGTAAGGATCAGTGCTTTACATCTCTCTCTCTGTATGCGTGCGTGTCTCCAGGTTGGTGCACATGTATGCATGTGGGTGTGGAAGCCAGAGGTAACCTCAGGTGTCAGTTCTCAGGACACTAGCCATTTTGATTTTCTGAGTCTGTCACTAGTCTGGAACTCACCCATGCAGCCCAGAGGCTGGTGGCCAGCAAGCCCCAAGGATCTAACTGTCTCTGGCTCAAGTATACTAGGCTTTGTGTGTGTGTGTGGGGGGGGGGGGGGGGTGCGCGCGCGCGCGCGCGCGTGTGTGTGTGTGTGTGTGTGTGTGTGTGTGTGTGTGCTCAATCGACACTGGGTAACTGAGTATTCTCCCTAACCACTCTCTATTTATTGAGGTAGAATCCTTGAGAACTTGGAGCTCAGTAATTCTGGTTAGTCTAGTTAGCCACCTTGCCGGGGAAATTATCTCTGCCTTCCTGAGAGCTGGGATTACAGGCAGCTACTCTTTTATGAGGAGGGTCCTGGGGGATCTGAACTCTGGTCTCCATACCTGGGCGGCAGCCACTCTATCCACCGAGTCATCTCCGCAGCCCATGCCTGGAGTTTTTGTGCATTCTGGGGACTGAGCTTGGCAGCAAGAGCGTGTACTCGTTTTCTCGGCTCTCTTCTGATGCTCCTTGTGTCTTGGGAGGCGGTGATATAGATGCTTTCTTTATTCAGGGCTGAGAAGTCAACAATCATTTATTCTCAGCACTCTGAACAATTATGGGTCTCTGCATTAACTAACATCACATACTATGAAACAAACTTATAACTTTTTTTTTTTTCTTGTGAGACAAGGTCTCTCCACATAGTCCTGGCTGGCCTTGAACTCACAGAGATCCCCCTGCCTTTGCCTCCCGGTTTTAACTGCACATTTATTTAACTTGAGGGGGATAAATGATAAAAATCTGAAAAACAAAGGTTGAAATACTATCTGCCAGCACCTTCGGGCGAAGCCTTGGAGCTCAGCCACGTGGACTAACTAGACTCTTGCCAGGACCTTAAAAGCAAGAGGCTGGAAGGCTCGCTCACCCGATCCACCCAGAGAGGGGAGGGGCCGGCAAGAGGGGCGAGGTTTCGGCTGGCAATATGGCGGCCGCAGGACCGCTCTGGCAAACTCCAGCCCGCACTCTATAGCCGGAAGTTGTCCTGCCTTCGCCTCTAGGAAGCGGAAGTGCAGGGGTGGCTGGCAACTGGGTGACTGCTTTGAGAAACCGGCTTGTGAGGAGCGGCGGGAAAGGCGCGTGTCGGTTTCTCACTGGCGCAGCCTCCGCCGAGGTCGCCGCTGTCCCGCCCTGCCCGGGCGTCGTTGCTGGCACTAGAGTGGATGAAGCGCAGCCCGGGCATGGGCAGCCGGGGGGATGCGAAAGCCGCGGGTGCCTCAGCTGCGCGGCGGGTGACAGGTACCTCGGGTGGCGTGGGGGAGGCCTCGGAACCAGGGAGAGGGGCCAGAGCGGGAGGCGACCGTGAGTCCGAGTCACCTTGGACTTCCTCGTCTCCCCCGACTCGGCTTCTCCTCCAGTGCTCTCTTTGCGAGCGCCTCAAGTTGTCCCCAGCGGTCTGCTGTTCTGTGCGAGTGGCGGCGGCGGCGGCGGGCTCTCCCCAGCAGCCCTGATTCGGTTTGAAGTGGAGGAGGAGGAGGAAGTGCCCCAAGGAGTTTAGATTAGACCAAGCCTGACCCTAAGTAGGTTGAGAGCCGGCACTTTGCATAACTCTGGAGAACCAGTTGTTTTCTTTATGGGTTTCTGTTTTCCCTAAATGAAATCGGGTGATGCATCTTGGTTGTCGTTTTTCTGTGAGTGATAAGATCTCTTGGAATAAAATTGGACGATCCGCTTCACTTTTAGCCTGTGACCTGCCAGCAGAAGATATGCGTGCATCTCCATTACGTTATGGACTCTTCTCGTTGCTCGGCAGAACTCTCTCTTGTTCTGCATTTGTTGCCAGGTTGGAGAAGGAGCATGTTTTGCTTGTTCTGAGACCTGGGATCTAACCCTTAACCGTGCCTTGGAAACATCTGTGTACTTGCAAGCCTCTTTTAGTATAAAGTTCTTTCTTCCCTAGATATATCTTGTATACTGGCAAACACATGAAGACATATTTTTATTTATTTGCTCCCCCTCCCCCTTTGGAGATAGGATCTCAAGTATCCCAGACTAGCTGGGCTTGCTTGAAGACATTTTGCAGAGTCAGTTAACTGTACCAAACTGGAGCAGATTGTAGCCTTTCCATTTGGCTTACTTTGCTTTTGGTAAACTTAGCTGAAACTCTTCTTTTTTAAATTAAAAGTTTTATTTTATTTACTTAGTTTTTGTTCTGCGTGTGCAGGACAATTTTGTGGAATTAGTTCTCTCCACCCACCTCTGTGTGGGTTTCAGGGGTCAAACTCAGGTCACCAGGCTTGCACGACAAGAGCCTTTACCCACTGCTCTACTCACTTGCTAGAACTTCCTTCTGTGAGTGAGAGAGACAGACAGAGACAGAGTCGGTGTGCAATGTCATGGTGTGCATGTGGAGATCAGAGGACACTGATTGAACTCAGGTCACCAGGCTTGTGTAGCAAGGGCCTTTATTCATGGAACTGTCTCCTTGGCCTAAAACTTTATTAAAGGAAGTAAACATACTTTGTATAGTAACAGGGTGTCTCAGCGCACATTTAACGAGAAGGGAATAGATGGTGCTATGGAGAAATTTCAGTTAGAATTTCTTTGCAGGGATCTAGTCATCATTTAGATGAATAGTAACTACTTGGAGTTGGAATCAAGTTTATGCGATCCACAGCAAATGGTTATTAGGTATAAATGCGTCAAGTTTAGTTAATTTCTTCTCACTTGGATTGGATGCTTCCTCTTATTTTTCTTTGCTACTATTGAACATGTTGAAATTCAGTCTGTAGACTTGCAGACTGCAGATTTTTCTTTTTCATTTTTTCTTTTTAAAGAGTTTGTTAACTCTTTAGTTTAAAAAAGATGAAGCAAACTAGGTCTGTGGTGGTGCATGCCTTTGATCCCAGCACTTGGGAGGGAGGTAGAGGCAGTAGGATTTGGAATTCAAGGTTGTCGCTCGCTCCACAGCAAGTTAGAGGCCAGCATGGGTCGTAACAAGAACCTGTCTTGATAGAGAAGGAAGGAATTTGGTGATTACTTAGGAATGACTCATGCCTATTCTGCTTTCCAGAATGTGAAAACATTCGACATGTACACCTGTTACTTAGAGTTTTTATATTTGACTGTGGATCAGCGAGCAAGCTTTAGTTTAAATGCTCTGGAAGCTCATAGATGGTTGATAATAGACTCGGCCCTAGAACTTGTTAGAATGCTTGCTGTCTGTCCATCATGCCGCCAGCATTGGAATATTCATCTTTATAAGCAACACGTAAGGACCACTAGGGTTAGAATGCTAGTGGAACTTAATAAAAATGAAAGCATCTTCAAACAAAGGAGTGCTTCAGTGAAGTTCTTACCTGTTTGTTTCTCTGGACAAATCTTCCCTCTGGCCTCACTTAGGAGGTCAAGTGTGGGGTCAGGTTGTCAAAGCTGCTCTTTAATGTGTAGCCTTTATCTTGTTCCCATCTCCAGTGGTGCTGTACTTCTCAAGGGTCTATACTTTCTCTGAAGAAGTATTACAGGATAGGTTGGAGAGATGATGGCAGCAGTTTAGATTATTTATTGTCCTGGCAGGGGACCCGAGTTCTGCTCTCTGCACCCATAACAGACAGCTTACAACCCCCTGTAACTGTAGTTCCAGGAAATCTAATGCCTTCTGGTCTCTTTGGGCACCTGTGCACACATGATGTATATAAATGCATGCAGCTCACATATATACATGTAAGTACAAATAATAAATCTTTAAAATATATTAACAGTCATACCTCTGGGTATGTAGCCTTTCCTTTTATCCTTCTTACAATCTTGTCTTTTCCATTTTGCTTTTTCTTGTGTGTGTTTGGGAGGTACATTTACCAGTATGTAGAGGCCTGAGGTCATGGTTGAGACTCTTCCCCAGGGGGCTGGAGAGATGGCTCAGTGGTTAAGACACTGGCTATTCTTCCAGAAGACCCATCTTTGATTTCTGGCACCCACATAATGGCTCACAACCATCTATAACTTCAGTTCTGGAGGGTCTGACACCCTCTTCTGGCCTCCTCAGGCACCAGGCACAAATAGTACACATACAGGCAGGCAGGCAAAATACCAATACACATAAAAAAAAAATCTTTTAAAATAAAAATATTCTTAGAAATAAAAATGAACACATATATAAAAGAGTTTTCCTTAGTTACTCTCTACTTTATTTAATTACCTTGTTTGTTTGTTTGTTTGTTTGTTTTTCAAGACGGGGTTTCATTATGTAGCCATGACTGTCCTGGAACTCACTGTGTAGACCAATGTGGCCTTGAACTCATAGAGATCCTCCTGCCTCTGTTTCTGAGTGCTGGAATTGAAGGCATGTGCCACCACTGCCTGGCTTTATTTGATTACTTTTTAAGAAATGTTTTTGAGATAGTGTCTTACTGTATATCCTTGGTTGGCCTAGAACTCACCATGTAGACCAGGCTAGCTTTGAACTTAGAGATCTGTCTGCCTCTGCCTCCTGAGTGTACAACCAGGGTGACAACTGTTGTCAAGGATGAAGTAACCACTCTATTCCTTTGGGATGGGAGATGTCCAAAGGCTGGAAATCTGCTCTCTTGCTGCTGGCTTGGGTGTTTTATAGGGTTCCTGTGTCCTCTTTCTCCTATTGGAGATACCTACTCCCATGCCTTCCAGCTGTTCCCCTTGAAATGTCTTCCAGAAACAAGAAGCCACCATTTTAGAAGCCTGCCTTTGCTTTCCCTGCCTATCTATATTAATATAAGTCCCCTTCAAGTGCTGTGTGCACTAGCCATGTGGTCCTGATCTTTGTAAATCATAATGACTCTTGGTGTCTCACCTCTTCTCTGTTGTTTTCTTAATCCCTTTATGAAGGAAGCCTGTTTTTATTTCATTTTTAGTGTCTCCCGTGTTCCAGGCTTCATGCTAGACATGGTGTCCATCACAGGCAAAACTCCCTGTGTTGAGGAGCTCACTTTTAGTCCCTTAAGTCACCATGAGTATGGACCTGTGAAGTTGGTTGGGTGGATTTCTCTGGGGCCAGTTTTATTCCCTTCAGATTTACATTGTTCCTTTCAAACACTTGCCCATTAAAAACAAAAACAAAAACTTTTTCTTTTTTCTTTTTTTTTTTTTTTTGAGACAGAGTCTCTCTCTGTAACCCTGGCTGTCCTGGAACTAACTCACTGTGAAGATCATGCTGGCCTTGAACTCAGGGTCTGCCTGTCTGCCTTCTGAGTGCTGGGATTAAAGGCATGTGGCATGCCTGACTTAGAAAAACTCTTGAACTAAGGTTCTTGAAATAACGTACTTTGCTCAGTTGTAGCCTGCAGAGAATGAATCCTTACCTCTCCTAAAGCCAAAGAACCAAGGGAAATAGCACGATAGTGTAGAATATTAAAAACTGCCAAGCACAGTGGTGCACATTTAAAATCCCAGGACTCAGAAGCAGGAAGCTCCCCAGTTCCAAGCAGCCTGGGTTACAGAATAAGACTTTGTCTCAGAAAACAAACCCACTAATAGAACAAAGCAAGGTTCTGCACTTTGCTACTTGATTCTCCAGCATCACTAATGTCACCGTTCCGAGCTTTCTTATTTCTAATGGCAATGGTGACACTTCCTTCATAAAGCACATCTGTGGAATAACTACTGCGGTGCCCGGTGTCCTGCTGTGGTTAACAAAGTAGACATGGCTGCTACACTCAGAAACTTGCGTCTTTTGGGCGTTGTGAAGGACAGGTGACATGATGTATGTAAAGCACTTGGAGCTCCATAGCCTCTTTCACAGATCCTGGCTGTTCCCTGCATTTAGTCCTTCCCCAGCCCTTCTCTTTTCTACATGTTATACTCTACCCACCGTACATTTGATTGCATATATACGTATGTTTTGGCTAGGTTCTGCATTATTGGGGAGGCAATGTGGGCTTTTTTATTTTTCTGTCTGATTGTGTGACCTTAGTTAATATTATACATCTAATTCCATCCATTTTCTTGAAAACTTTGTGATTACATGTAACATGAATCTTAAAGGTCTTATTAATAAAAGCAAACCCGGAGCCAGGTATTGGGGTGAACACTGAAAGATCAGAGAAACAGAACAAGCCACATCCAACCTCACCTTGTCAACTTCTTCGCTGACTTGTTTCCTCAAACTGGAAGCCTCTAAGTCCTCACCCAAATGGATCTCAGCTGAACTGCTGCTAAAAGCCTAAAAGCTTAAAAAGACCTCTAGTTCCTGTTCCTCACGCCTTATATACCTCTCTGCTTCCTACCATCACTTCCTGGGATTAAAGGCATGTGTCTTTCCCAAGCAAGACATGAGATCTCAAGTGCTGGGATTAAAGGTGTGTGCCACCATGCCTGGCTCTGTTTCCAGTATGGCCTTGAACTCACAGAGATCCATCTGGAATGCTACCACTGCCTAACCTCTATGTTTAATATAGTGGCTGTTTTGTTCTCTGACCCCCAGATAAGTTTATTGGGGTGCACAATATATCAACCACAATTAGTTTTGCTTTACAGCTGAATAATATTTGTGTGTGTGTGTGTGTGTGTGTGTGTGTGTAAAATTTTCATTTTCCGTCTATTGATGGACAACTAGGTTGATTCTGATATTTTATATTGAATAAAGCAGCAGTAAGTGTGGGGGCACAAATATTTCTATGCCAGGGTCTGGAGTGCTCTGGATATATACCCAGGAGTGAAATAGCTAGGTTGTAAGGTAGTTATATTTTTAATTATTTTGGGAAATCTCCAAACCGATTTCCACAATGGCTATATTAATTAGCATCCTCACCAACAGTGACTAAGGGTTCTTTCTTACTACATCTTTTCCAACATTTGTTGTCAGATTTGTTGATGATAGCCATCCAACTGGGTGAGGTATTGTCTCAAAGTAGTTTGAATTTGTATTTCCCTGATGGCTAGGGATATTGAACATTTTGAGAAATAATTATTGGCCATTTGTGTTTCTTTTTTTGAAAACCATCTATTCACTCATTTTATTTACCCATTTGTTGGTTGGCAGTTTTATTTCCTTGCTATTTAATTTCTGTAATTCTTTGTCAGTTCTGGATATTTGCCCCTTGTGTGAAGGGTGGCTGATATTTTTTTTTTTCCCCATTCTGTGGGCTGTTTGCTTTGCTGATTATTTCCTTTGTTGTACAGAAACTTGATTTTTGTCTAGTCCAATACTTGGAGTTAGTTTCTATGCTACTGGTGTCCTATTTAAAAAAACTCTTGCCTGTCCCCATATCTTGACCAGTATCCCCTGTTTTCTTCCAGAAGTTTCGGGTTTTAACTTAAGGTTGATTGATTTCGAATGATTTTTGTACAAGGTGAAAGGTAATCTTATTTTGTCTTCTGTAGGTGGAACCCAGTTTTGCCAGCACTGTTTGTTGAATAAGCTGTCCTTTTCCCAGTATATGTTTTTGTCTCTTCAGTCAAAATTTAAGTGGGTATAGCTTGGTCATAACTTTGTTTCAGGTCCTCTGTTCCACTGGTCTACCTGTCTACATGTACCAGGACCAGCCTCTCTTTCTCAGTGTAGCTCCATAGTGTAATTTGAGATTGGGTTTGGTAAATGTGTTCTTTCCTTTTTTTGAAAAATATTTTTTTCTTTTTCTTTTTTTTCTGAGACAGAGTTTCTCTGTGTGGCCCTGGCTGTCCTGGAACTCTCTAGGTAGACCAGGCTGGCCTCCAACTCAGATCTACCTGCCTCTGCCTCCTGAGTGTTGGGATTAAAGGCGTATGCTACCACCACCTGGCTCTATCTCTCTTAAAAAAAAAAACAAACAAGCAAACAAACAAACAAAAAAAAAACCACAAACAAGAAGCTTTCACCCCCTACATGCAAAAAGTACAGAAAATGGAAATCAAAATACACAAGCAAAAGACCAATAAGACAAAAAATATTGGGTTGGGGATTTAGCAAGCGTAAGGCCGTGAGTTTGGTCCTCAGCTCCAAAAAAAGAAAAAGACAAAAAATATCCAAATATAGCAACTTGACAAAAGGTCTATAAAAACACTATTGAGTTTGTTTTGAGTTAACTTTACTGCTGGGCATGGGGTTTACCATGAGGTGATCTGTATACCCAGGTAGACTCAAGGTTTCATTTTTCCTTGGCAAGTGGGTGTCAGTTGCAGATAGCTCCTTGGTTAGGGATGAGAGACTGTGTCCACTTCCCTCTGTCAGTGCTGGAACACAGTCTGGCTTGAAGCTGTGCAGGCCATGTGTGTACTGCCATTATCTCTGAATTCCTATGTGCATTAGTCCTTTTGTGTCTGGAGGATACTGTTTTCTTGGAGTCAGTCATTGCCTCTAGCTCTTAGAATCTTTCTGCCTAGCTAGCTCCCTGAGCTCTGAGGAGAGGATTTGATGAAGACATCCCATTTAGGACTGAGTGCTTTATTTACTCATGGAATATTCAAGTTTTTGTTTGTTGTTTTGTGTATTTGTAGAGAAGTTGGCAGTGCTTAAACTTAACACGATTCTTAAAGATACTTTTCTATTTCTATTATTTATTTTGCTTCAGTTATTTTTCAATCTTTATGCATTGTGTAAGGTAGGCTCTTAACATAAATGATATCAGTAAAAAAGTAGATCCTCTTGGACTCACTCAATATCTTTTGTGTCCATCTCATTAATAGATTTTTATAACCAATATCAAGAAATGGGTGTGACCAGGATGGGCCTGCCAGAGCCTAACATTTAGAAGCACAGAATGTGTAGTACATCTTCTCATCCTTATGTGTCCCATCCAAAGTTAGATGCTATTTCTTTTTTTTCAATTTAGAAGAGATCTCATCTTGCCCATCTCATATTTCCCAGGCTAGTCTTAAACTCTAATCCTAATTTCACCCCAGCTTCCTGAGTAGTTAAGATTATAGTCTTGAGTCACCTGGCCTGGCTTTGCTTTGCTTTTTGTGGCACTGTTGTGGAATGGGCATCGTGCTGTACTAGGCAAGTGTTCTACCACTGAGCTACAGTTCTAGACTGAGGATGCCGATCTCTCTATAGCTTGGGGGAGGGTGAGTGTGTCTGATTAAGGAAGTTCTGTTGGTAGGTTTCTAGCATGAAAACTGAGGTCAATCAGTAACTGACGACATTTTCTGCAGTGGTCTGGATGCTGTCTCTGAGAATGTCAGTTTGCTTGGAGAGGCTGCTGATGGGAGCTAGGAGGCTCTATGCTGTTACCTAGGAACTTGGATTCCCTACTTTGTAGATGGGAGCAGATGGCATGAGACACTACTGAAGTCTTTGCCCATCGCTGATCCAGTCTTTGAGTTTGTTACGTTTGAAACTCACTGCATTATTTCCTAGAGCTAACAAAATGTAGGGCCGTAAACTGGGTGGCTCCTGACAGCAGACTTCATTGTCTTCCGGTTTTAGGCTACAAGTTCTCATGTGAGGTGTGGCAGCACCATATTCCCTCCAAAACTGCAGGAGGGTGGGGACTTTTGCCTGCCTATTTCAGTCTCTAGTAGCATCAGACCCCCAGATAACTCCTCGACTTGCTGTATAGTTCCAGTGTTTACTTTTCTCTTCACAGGTACTCTGGGTCTGTCCACCCCTCTCCGTTTTTTAACACTAGTGATACTAGATTACTGTACTAATGACTGTCCTGATGACCAAAATTTTGCCACCTTGTAAAGACTCTATCTCCAAGTCATTCTGATGTAGAGGGGTTATGACTGCAATATTACTGCCCCCCCTTTTTTTTTTGTAGATTAGGATTCCGCCTATAGCACTACTAGTCATTCATACTTCATCTGTCTTAGCTTTGTTTTTCCTCATACTTTATGAAGTTGCATGCAGCCTGCTGTGTGACCTCTGTAGTACCACCCTTCAGGAAGGGAAATGGCACCCCATAGGAAAGATTGTAGCCAACTTTCACTCCCTAGCTTTCCTTGTCCCAGGTACTCAGCGCGGTCTTTGGGCCATCAAGGTGTTAAGGCTGTTGGTTGCAGAAGCATTTTGTTTGTGTACCTGCACTGTTACTTTGTGTCCCTAAGTATTAATGTTGTTTTTTGCTTCCTTGTGAAATTTTAACATTGCTTTCTCTTTTTCCCTTTGTAGGGCTCTGTTACAACATGGGACTTGTGATTGCGCTGGCTTCACTGTGCCTGTTTTCCTTAGCAGAGGCCAATTCAAAAGCCATTACAACCTCTCTTACCACGAAGTGGTTTTCTTCTCCACTACTATTGGAAGCCAGGTAAGGGGGTATTCTCTTCTGTATAATGGAATAGTATAAACTTAGGGTGGTCTGGTAGTAAATGAATACTCAGTAGTGAGCTTACTTTCATTTGTGTGGTAAGTGTCCCTTACAACACCCATTGTGCTCTGTACGGTGTAAGGGCTCCAAGGATGCAGACTCTGCCTGCCAGCTGCACAGGACTGATCCTCAGGCAGGTTTAGGAACTTTGCTCTTAAGAACAAGACCCTAGGGTAAGAGAATGGGGGGTGGAGGAGGAGGAGGGAGCTGAAGAAGTTACAAGTCTACTTGTTTTAAGGTAGTCCTGTTCTACATTGTAGTCTCCCAAATCTGAGTACTTCCTTAAATTTGGAGGTTATTAGTATTATTATTTTTACTTACTTTTGTACTAAGTCAGATCTTACTAATTTGTATCAACGTTTATACACATTTAAAGGGTTTTTTTTTGTTTTTGTTTTTGTACTATGTAGTATTTCCTTGTGTAACTATATTGGTTCCTTGGCACTACATAAACTCATAGGGTGAGGAGCACAGGCCTTTAATCCCAGCATTTGAGAGGTTGAGGCAGGCAGATCAGGAGTTCAAGGTCATCCTTTAGTATATAGAGAATTCAACACCAGCCTGGGATACATGAGACTGTGATAAAAAAGAGTTATCTTAAAGCTGGGGATGGTGACATATCTGTAGCACCAGCTGCCCAGGTGAAGGATGGGAAGTTTAAGGCCACCTGGGGATGTTATCCAGACACTGTCTGAAAACATCATCATCATCCAGCAGTAACAGCAATAAAAGATGGGGAGTATAACTTAATGGTAGTATGCTTGCTTGCCTGCCAACTGTGAAGCCCTAGGTTCAATCCTTAATGCTGCCCCTCCCCTCCAAAAATAATTATAGCCAAGCATGATGGTATATACCTGTAAATCCAGTATATGGAGGGGTTAAGGTAGGAGAACTGTGTGTTTGAGGCCAGACTGGGCTACATAACGATTCTCTGTCACAAACAATCAGGCCGTACTTTAATTATAAAATAATTAAGTCTTAAATTGATAAAAATGTACTAAATGGTTTTTTAGTAATCCGTGGTTTTTTGTTGTTGTTTTGTTTAAAAGACAGGGTCTCATGGATCCTGAACTTGCCTCAAACTTGCTGTGTAGCCAAGGATGACCTTAAACTTCTGATCTTGCTTCCACCTACTCAGTGTTGGGATTAGAGCCATGTGCTGTCATGCCTGGTGTATGTAATACTGGGGATAATGAACCAAGGATTTCATGCATGCTAGGCAAGCACTCTTTTTTTTTTTTTTCCGAGACAGTGTTTCTCTTTGTAGTTTTGGTACCTGTCCTGGAACTCACTCTGTAGACCAGGCTGGCCTTGAACTCACAGAGATCCTCTGGCTCTGCCTTCGGAGCACTGGGATTAAAGGCGTGTGCCACTGCCGCCCAGTTTAGGCAAGCACTCTTAACATTAGAGCTGTATCTTCAACCCCTAGAAGATTTTTGTGGTACATACCCATGATGGAGTTGAGAAAGCATGTCTAATACTATCAGTTCTAATTCCTCAATTTTTGTCCAGTTTCTTTGACCATAGTTGAGTATATAGTCTTTGATGTTTGCATCATCAACTTCCCCGTCACAAACATCTCCCCATTTCATGGTGTCTCTGGCAATTTGCCATTTTGAGTTGTTACTTTTAGGCCTCTTCTCCAATAGGTGTTTGCAAACAGGTAGTCAAGGTAATGGGCCTTGTAGGCACCTCCAAAAGAAGCCTTGTGTATTTGTATCACTCTGCAGTTCCCTCCAGAGCAGTGGTTCTCAACCTGTGGATTGAACCCCTCTTTCTGGCTTTGAATGACCCTTTCACAGACCATTGGAAAATATTTACATTACGATTCATAACAGTAACAAAATGGTAGCAATGAAAATAACTTTATGGTTGAGGTCACCACAACATGAGGAACTGTATTAAAGGGTTGCAGCATTAGTAAGATTGAGAACCACTGTTCTGGAGCTAGCTGAGGCCACCATTCTTCCCTCATGTCTATGATGATGGATTTCGACACTGTCTCTGTGGATGAGGGTGAAGAGCTCTGTGTACCATGTAGCTGTTACAGACCTTGTTTTCCTTGCATCTAGTCCTAAGGGACTAAAAACATTCCTGTGTATATTTTTAGATTGTGCCTGATGATTATGAAGGGATTTTTAGCTCTGTGATTGCTCATGAAGTCATATGTATATATATATCCATATATCTCTATGTATACTAAATATATATCTCTATATATATCTAAATATTTATGTATATATTTAACTGAAGTAAAACTCTTGAATGTTTTGAGCAGTTATAGTTACTAATAGAAATAGATATTAAAATAGCTAAGGAATGTAGAATGATAGAGTTATAAATCAAATCTACTTGAATTTATATTGACTTCTAGTCTAAGGAAACAAGATCACTACCAGATTTACAGATTCTGGAGGAAAATCAGGTTGCTTGTAGGAACATACACTCTATCTCTCACTGTGTGTATGAGATACACACACACACACACACACACACACACACACACAGAGTCTTGCTATGTAGAGACTAAGCTAACCTCCAACTTGTGATCTTCCTGCCTCTGCCTCTCAGTAATAATTATTGGGATTATAGGCATGAGTCACCAAGCCCAGTTAGCTCCCTTTTTCATAGATGAAAAACTTTAGCAAGTTCTTAGCAGCTTCCCCATTTGGAAAGTGGTTGTAATCGAGGGTGGCTGTGAGGTCTTATACTTGAGTGAATATGCCAAGTGCATTGTCAGAGAACAGAGTCCTTAAGCATTCCTTCCTTCCTTGTCTAGTCCTGTGTAAGACTTAGCTGATCTCCACAGTAACAATGGAAATGTGGAATATGGTTGCTACATTTTTTTTGTTTGTTTTCTGTAGATGAACAACTTTGTATTATGACATTTTAAAAGTATTTACCAATAAAGAAATGGTTCTTCTGTACACATGACTCATTTTAACAGTGATTGGGGTTGGATGTGGCTCTGTAAGTAGGTGCTTCTCTAGATTGTTGGAGACCCTAAGTTACACACCCAGTATCAAAGAGCAAAAAAACCAATGTGAGTGCAGTAACTAGTACTGCCCTCTTCCCCAACTGAAATGTTTTATAGCAAATCCACAGATACTTTTAATCACTGGCATAGGAATACAAAGCTAAAAAGTAATTATACTACACAAAAAATAGCATTATTTCTTGTAATAATGTCTTCTATTATTCTCTTTTCTGCTGGATTATTTCAATGGAATTAGTTGTTTTTTTAAGACCACAATCTTAGATCTCTGAAATAGGATAAAAAATATGTTTCGGGCTGGAGAGATGGCTCAGAGGTTAAGAGCACTGACTGCTCTTCCAGAGGTCCTGAGTTCAATTCCCAGCACCCACATGGTGGCTCACAGCCATCTATAATGAGATCTGGTGCCCTCTTCTGACGTGCAAGGATACATGGAGGCAGAATGTTGTATACATAACAAATAAATAAATTAAAAAAAAAATATATGTTTCAAGAAAATTGTTTATGATTATATGAAAAGCATATTTAGCCCGAGTGAGTCCTTGTTTTGGTCTACCACTGGTGAGTAAGTCATCCTCCCCTTAGTTCATGAATTGGTGTTCATTTGCATAGCATGACATCTCAGTACCTGTTTTCTTAGAGTGTAAGCTATTCTAAGGTGAGTCTAGTGTTTATGTCAGTTGCTAGACAGCCTAGAAAAGTAAGACTCATGGAGGCACCAAATCTGACACATTAATAATAGTGGGAAAGTTTTGAAACCTATTTCTAGAGAAGCTGCACATTACCAGGAATTGTAACTTATTTTCCCATATTTCTGTGTTTAACTGTGGAGTAGAGTGAGAGTTGCACACCTCAGTGTTGGCAAATAATGCGTAAGTCTTCCTTTGGCTAGGTAAGCTGAGATCTAGATCTGTAGTTTGCTTTAAGACAGTGAGCGATAACCACCATATTAGCCCTGGGCTTCAAGTGACAGTTACTAGTTTACGTGAATCATTCATTTGCACATTAAATGCATTTTATTTCAGGAGCTTTATACTTGAGTGAAAGGAAATTCAGAAAGACCATTGTTTAGGATAATAGTGTAAAGCTAAAAGAGATGATAATTCTTAGGTTTGATTTTGTTAGATGTGTACTAATTTAAGCTAAAAAAATTGGTGATCTTGAAAATTTGGTTTTTTTAGACATTAAAAGATATGCCTTTATTCTTCAAGAAATTTTTTAGGATTCGTGTTTACTGTGGGAGAACCTTAGGGTAAACATGTTTGCTCTTTGTAAGATCTTTCAGAACGGATGTGGGCAGAACTATCGCTAGAATGGCCGATTCTTCCTGCTTTCATTGCTGATGAGTTCTGCTAATGGACTTCATAAGTCATTGTATATTAGGGCTCCCTATTATAACATCTTTTTTTTTTTTTTTTTTTTTTGGTTTTTTCGAGACAGGGTTTCTCTGTGTAGCTTTGCGCCTTTCCTGGAACTCACTTGGTAGCCCAGGCTGGCCTCGAACTCACAGAGATCCGCCTGGCTCTGCCTCCCGAGTGCTGGGATTAAAGGCGTGCGCCACCACCGCCCGGCATAACATCTTTATTGTTCTAGGTTTCTTTTTTTTTTTTTTTTTTTTTTAAAAGATTTATTTATTATGTATACAGTTCTGCCTGAACATATCCCTGCAGGCCAGAAGAGGGCGCCAGATCTCACTACAGATGGTTGTGAGCCACCATGTGGTTGCTGGGAATTGAACTCAGGACCTTTGGAAGAACAAGCAGTGCTCTTAACCTCTGAGCCATCTCTCCAGCCCTGTTCTAGGTTTCTTAAGAAATAGCTAAAGAGTGAACAAGTTATTAAGCTGTTATTGATAGCTAATATGAAATAATGAAGGTTATTTTCATTAAGAAAATACACATTATACATAAAGATATATAATATATATATACATATATATGTTTGTGTATACATGTATATATATTAAAAGCCAAACTGCACACATTTGGGAATGTAAATCCCCTTTTATTCTTTCTAGTAATATAGCTTGTGATGGAAGATTTTATTGTCTCATTGCTGATATCTCCTACTTTTCTCCCAGTGAGTTCTTAGCAGAAGACAGTCAAGAGAAATTTTGGAGTTTTGTAGAAGCCAGTCAAAATATTGGATCATCAGATCATCACGGTAAAATTGAAGCAAATACTTGTTTGACTTTGTGGTCTGGGAAAATGTTCAAAAAAATGGTCTCCTTTGTATAGTATATGTAACATGACAGTTAATGGAAAATATTATTTTCTTTAATGACTAGAGTTGTCATGGTAGGACGATTGAAAACAGTGCGTGGGAAGCTATGCTCTGCCACTGAGCTATTCCCAAACCCCTACTGACTTAAACCAATACGTTTCTATTGTCCTTTTCAAGAAACGAAAATCAGCCTGCTTTGTGACCAGGCTGATTACACAGTCCTATTGCTTCAACCTCTTGAATACTTGGGGCTGTTGGCAGACACCACAAATCATTATTTTTGTGTGTGTGCAGTTTGTAACTTTGACTGCAAATAATGCCTTTCTTCCCATTGCTTTTGCTCTGTTGTGCTCTTTTATTAATGTGCTTTGGGACTACTTAGTGGAAGTACATTTTATTTTAGATCATTCAGTATTAACTTTATGTGTTTCATTGATTCTCTCTTCCTTTTGTTATGAACTAATTATACAGCTCATCTATTTGTATTAAGTGTGTTATCATTAAATTAGTGCCACCTAGTATGTTTTCCATTATGTCTACTGGCCACTGAATACTTGAGTGTCAAGATGTCAAATTAAGATGTATATTGTATCGCTCAGTTGTAGTTTATGGATGGTGTGCTTTCTTGAACATTTTCTAACATAAAAGATGTTAAATAGGTTGTAGACATTGCTAGTCAAAGATGCTAATAGAGGAGTGTAGTGATAGCCATCTAGCCAATGATGTTCTGGTCAGGGATGCAGCACATACATGAGAGTGGTGCCAGAAGATGCCACCCAGTGACCTTAGTTGTCATAATGTGTGGAAGTGTACTTTCTTGATTACACAGTGACAAAGCATCTATACGTTGTAGTCATTGTGTAAGTTAGAGTGAACAAGAATGGTTTATAACAGATTATTTCACAGAGCTGGAGACATGGCTCAGTGGTTAAGAGTGTGTATGCTTTTCAGGTGACCTGAGTTCAATTCCCAGCTCCCATATCCAGCAGTTCACAACTGCCTGTAACTCTAGCTCCAAGGGAATCTGATGCCTCTGGCTCTGAGGGCAGTCATGTGTATGTACCAGCACACAGACAAACACATAATTAAAAATAATAAATCTTAAAGAATTTTATGATTTCATGTAATAAATTTATCAATATGGTTTTAAAATAAAACCTCAAGTCTTAACATTTAAAATGAAATTTCAATATAAATGATACATATTCTTGGTTAATGTTACAAGGATGTGAATTATTAGAAGTGATTATAAAAGTATGCCAAATATTTTATTATTCATAGTTCTGCTATCTAAAGATTGGCATTATTAATTTCTGGGACCATTTTGAGGTATTTCTTCCTGTTTTCTTTTTCCATGTAAGATGATGCTAATGTGATATGGAACCTTTCATATTCTGTTTTTAAAAGTATAAATATTAGGACTAGGGAAATAACTCAGAGGATAAAGCACACCATGTGTAAGCGGGAGGGCCAGCATTAGATCACAGACCATTTAAAAGCTAGGCAGATGTGATAGCCACTGTCAACTGAGCACTCAGGAGCCAGAGAGAGGGGATACCTGGATCAGGCTGGCGGGTAGACTAGCTGCAATTGGCAGGCTCCGGGCTCAGTGAGAGAGCTTGCCTCAACAAGAGACTGAGATCAAGGAAGACGCTTGGTATAATGGGTCTGCATACACATGTAGTCATGTTCATGTCCACTTGACACAAGTGTGTTCACACATATACATGAGTATACACCACACATGCCAAAGTTAATATTTTTCCTATTGAAGATTTTATTTTTTGAATGACTCATATAACTCATGCTGTAGTCAAAACTAAATAAAAAGTTGGATACTCTTCCCTGTCTCTATTTCTTGTATTTTATTTTATTTTTTTGCTTGCTTTTAAAAACCATTTAACATTTATTCCGTAATGGTTTTTTTGACCACACACACACACACACACACACACACACACACACACACACACATTTATATCACAGTCTTTGGCAAAAATGACTGCTATGTTTTGTAATTTTGCTTTTCATTTATTAGAGGATTTATTCATACTAGTACACAGATGTCTTTTCCTTCTAAATATTATGGTACTATCAATGTTCTTTAATATCTGTTGTACTCCTTAGTGTTTTATTTAGTTATTTGAGTAGAGAGCACAATCTAGGTTCTGAGAGTACAAAGATATAAATCATTGCCTCTTTCTGTGGGTGCCCAAAGTCAGTAAATAAGTACTTTAATAAATGATGTGCCAGACAAATATTCTTGGACCCAAGCAGTGATATAATTGGTCTGTGGAAGCATAGAATAGAGAGGAAGTCTCCTTTCCTAAGTGACTGATTTCATAGCTGAATTCTTCCAGGAGTAAGTCATCCTGGCAAGTAGGAAAGTAGCAGTCCAGGCAAGCGGAGTAGTTCAGAGGAAGGAAAGAAGTGTCTATCTGTATTGTGGACCTCAGGTAATTTTAGTCACTTGAGATGGGAGCAGTTTGTCATCTGTGTTTGTTCTGTGCTTTATAAACTGTCTTGTTTGGTTATTTGCAGTCATGCGATTGTTCTGGTTAATGTGCTTCTTTGACAGATACTGATCATTCCTATTATGATGCGATATTGGAAGCTGCGTTTCAGTTTCTGTCTCCTTTGCAGCAGAATTTGTTGAAATTTTGTCTCTCTCTTCGTTCCTACTCGGCCTCAATTCAAGCCTTCCAACAGGTAACAAGACATCATTGTATCCAGCAGACAGTGTTTTGTAGGGGGTGTGACATGGTGATTCAGTTGATTGTAGTTCTCTTGGGATTGACTCACAGTTACCATTTTCTTCATCTGACATTTTCTGGGATTTATGATTTATTTTTAAATAATGAACAAAACTGATGTTTTTCAATCATTAAAGTCTTTAAATTGCAGGTGTTCCTCTCTGTCTCTGGTTTTGGAGATGGAACACAGGGCCTTGGACATGCTAGGCAAATAAGTAAATCCAACTACTGAGCACCTCTCCTTACCAATCACAGATATATAACTTTTCATTTTTCTTGCACCGGGGTTGGATTTGGATGTGGAAATTTTTAAGGAATGATGTACATTTACTTTCATGTGAGAAATGAAAAGAATATTGTCACAGGAAAAGTGACAGCCAGATGCTATTATGCAACACAGTCTGGAAGATGTAATCTTGCTAAACCAGTGAACCTGAATCTGATCACAACCTTTGGATTTAAAAGCAGGAGACACAAGAAACAGGAAGTGTCAGGCAACACCAAGGGAATGTTTAGAGAAGCATTTTAGTAAAGTGATCTGGGATCTTCTGTGGATAAATGGAAAGGAAAAAGAAAAAGAGGAGCATAGCAACATCAAGAAGCCTTCAGAATGTCACTGCAGGGGTCTCGTTTGGATTTTGAAAGGGGAACACAAGAGAGAATCAGATGTGTATATATCAGTTAGACATTTGTATGAAAGAAATGTTAATTTAAAAACCATCCTGTACTATAAAACAGAGCAGATACAGAAAACCACCCACAACAGATGACTCATACGACAGGTTACTGTGAAGTGAGCACCTTTGTAACCTTCACCAGGCTAAGCAGCGATTTTCACTTACTGTCTTGGAAGTCCTCCATGTGCTGTCTCTGTCATAGCTGCAGTTTGTCCTCCCAAAGAAGCCATGCTGCCACTTCTTGTCCCAATCACCCCCTGTAGTTTTGTTTTTAAATTATTTTATTGCCCAAGAGTGCGTCTGCACCCAATAGAGTTTAAATTTTGTCCTGTGTTAGAAAATTTTAATATTTTGTGAGAGGGTCTCTTGATTGTTTTTGTTGTTATTTGGTCTGTTTTTTTGAAATAGCTTTAGTCTTTGTAGCACAGGCTACCTTTGAATTCTCAGTCCTCCTCCAGCCTCCCAAGTGTTGGGATTATAGGTGTTATTGCTAACCCAGCTCCTCTTTTCTTTTCCTGGTGTATCCCATGGACTGCATCATACTTCTCATGCACTCAGTTTTGTTATCACACATTTATGTGCAGACTAGCTTGTTCCTCTATCTCCTGTTTCCTTTAACCAGGTAGCTGGGTCTAGAGACTCAATCAGAATTCCATTGCTTTCCTTAGACACGTCTATAGGTAATGTTCTAGTCACTCATCAGGACTGAAATGTCTGTTTGCTTTTCTTTTTCTCTTTTCCTCCTTTCCTCAGACTCTTGCCCTCCTCCTTTCCTTTCTTCTTCCTTCCCCTCTGTTTCTTTCTAATTCCTAAATTTTTTATTTAAACATTTTTCATATAATTGATCATATTCTCTTTCCACTCTCCCAATTCCTCCCAGATCCCCCAAGTTCCCTACCCACCCAACTTCATGTTCTCTCTCTCTCAAAAAAGAAACAAATAAAAAAGGAAAAACAACAAGCCACCCACTACACAAAAAATAGAAAATCAAACTATAAAAGAGAATTCAGTTATGACAAAATATTAAAACAAACAAAAATCCAACAAAAAACCCATGGAGTTCGTTTTGTGTTGGCCAACTACTCCTGGGCATGGGACTTGCTCTGGAGTATGGAAATATACCCAGTGATACCCCACTGGAGAAAGATGATTATCCCATTCCCAGCAGATAATCAGTTGCAAATAGATTCTTGGTTAGGGTGGGACTTTGTGTACACATCCCCTTCTTAGTGCTGGGATTTTGTCTGCTTTGAACCTGTGCAGGTCTTATGCATGATGTTACAATCTCTGGGTTCTTATGCTTATCAGTCTGGAAGACCCTGTTTCCTTGGTGTTATCCACCACCTCTGCCTCTTCTTCCACATAGATCCTTGAGCCTTGAGGGGAGGGGTTTGGTAAAGACACCCCATTTAGAGCTGAGTGCTCCGAAGTCTCTCACTCTGCACATTGTCCAGTTGTGGATCTCGTTGTTAGTTATCATCAACTGCAAGAAGAAGCTTCTGATGAGGATTGAGTGAGTGATACTCTGCCCTATGGTTATAGCAATATGTCATGAGAAGTAATTTTATTGCTATGTTCCTTTAGTGGAATAGTAGTATGTTTTCTCCTAGGCCCATGACCTACCAATTTAGTCTCAGGTTCTGGCCACTTTAGCATTGTCTTGTATGGGTTTCATCTCATCAGTGGACCTTTAATCCAATCAAAAAATGGTTGGTTAATCCATAATACTTTTCACTATTACATCAGTATATTTTGTGGCCAGGTCTTTGTTGGAGATTACAGGGTTTGTTGCTTGGTGAAATTGATGATTTATTTTCTCCTCCAGTAGCATGCAAAGTACCTTCATCATCGTGAACACTAGTCAGTAAGGGTGAAGCTCCTAGTTCAATTTCTTCCTGTTTGATGACTTAAGTAAGTTGTGTCTTCAGCAGTAGGGCCTTACCGTCAGGTTATGGAGCGTAACCAATAACCTTGGTGTGATGTTGCGTCAGGGGTGTCTATGGCACCCCTTTGGCCAACAACTCAATAAGATGTAACCCATTCCTGGCACTGGAGGTTCTACTTGGTGGCATAAGGTGTCTAGTTGGCACATGTCTCCCTCATTATATGGCGACTTCACTTACATTTCTTTCATATATATTTTAGGAAGTTTTACAATAGTGGGTTTCCATATGGCTTTACAAAAGACCTTTAGTGTTAGTTGTCCCTCCCTGTTTTTCCTCCTTTACCCTGCCCTTCCATTCCCCTCCTCATTTAATCCTCCTATTCTGATTTCCCTTTATAACTCTATATTCTGTTTCCTGTTCCTTAGAAGATCTGCATCTCCCTGCTGGTCCCTCAGTAGTTACCTCATTTCTGTGGTTATTAGGATTGAAACATACATACCTAAAGCTTGAAAGCTAATGTCCACATAAAAGAGAAAATCTGCATTATTTGTCTTTTGGGGCCTGGGTTACCTCACTCAGGATGATGCTTCTAGCTCTATCCATTTACCTGCGAATTTCCTAATTTGATTTTTCTTAACAGCTGAATGATATTCTATTGTGTAAATGTACTACATTTTCATTATCCAGTGATCAGTTGATGGACTGTTTTTAATTTCTGGCTATTATGAATAGAGCAGCAATGAACATGCATGAGTGTAGATGTAACCAACCGTCTTATTAAATAAGAAACATAGAACCAATGCAAAGAAGAAAGCCAAGAGATCAGAGCTAAGAGCCTTACCCTTCCTGCTGAAGTTAGCCTCTTTAGCCAAGAGACCTCTCCGAAAGAGACCTACTTCCTGTCTGTTTGTTTTATATAGACTTTCTGTTCTGCCTTCTCATTGGTTGTAAACCCAAACACATGACTGCCTTGTCACTGCCTGTATGTACAGCCCTCCAGGTCTTCTATGGTAGTGAGATTAAAGGCGTGTGTCTCCAATGCTGGCTGTATCCTTGAACACACAGAGATCTACCTAGCTCTGCCTACCAAGTGCTGGGATTAAAGGCGTGCACCACCAACGCCCAGCTTTTGCTATGGCTCTAATAGCTCTGACCCTGGGCAACTTTATTTATTAACATACAATTAAAATCACATTTCAGTACAAATAAAATAGCACCATACATGAGCATATTTATTTCTTAGTAGAATGTAGAGTCCTTTGGGTATATTCCCAAGTGGTATAGCTTGATCTTGAGGTGATTTTCCAGCTTCCTGTGGAACTGCCACACTGATTTCCGTAGTGGCTGTACCAAGTTACACTTCTACCAGTAAAGGATGAATATTGCCCTTTATCTGCACCTTCACCAGTATGTGCTGTCATTTGTTTTATTGATTATGGCCATTCTGACGATTTTATTTGTATTTCCCTGATGACTAAGGATGTTGAACATTATTTTAGAGTTTCTCAACATATGTGTTTCAACTTTTGTCAACTGTTTAGTTCCATATCTCCATTGTTTTTGTTTTTGTTTTTTTGAGACAGGGTCTCTTTATGTAGCTCTGGCTGTCCTGGAACTCACTATGTAGACTAGCCCAGTCTTGAACTGACAGAAATCCACCTGCCTCTGCCTCCTGAGTGCTAGGATTAAAGGTGTGCACCACTTTGCTGGCTTTGTATCCCATTATTGAATTGGATTATTTTTTTCTTGATGTTCAGTCTTTCTAGACCTTTATACATTCTAGATACTACTCTATCAGATATGAACTTGGTAAAGATTTTTTTCCCATTCTATAGGCTGCCACTTTACTCTCATTTAAAGGTGTCCCTTGTCAATGCCTTAAAGTTTTTACTAACAAGTCTATCACTGCTTGGTTAGAGTTACCCCAAGATATGTTGCTTTTTCTTTTTCTTCTTTTTCTTTTTCTTCTTCTTTTCTTTTCCTTTCTTTTCTTGTTTTTGGTGAGCAATAGTGAATGGTACTGCTTCCCTGATGTCTTTCTCAGTACATTTGTCTATAGGAAAGCTAGTGATTTTTGTGTGTTCATTTTTATGTCTTACTATTTTGCTGAAGATGTTTATCAGCTGTAGAAGTTTCCTGGTGGAATCTTTAGGGTCTTTTATGTATAAAATCGTATCATCTGTAAGTCAGGGCACTTTGACTTTTTCTGTTTGTATCCTCTTATCTCCTTCAGTTGTCGTTGCTCTAGCTAAGCTGAGACTTCATGTACCATACTGAATAGATGTGGAGAGTGGACATCCTCGTCTTATTCTTGATTTTAGTAGAAATGCTTTGAGTTTCTCTGTTTAGGATGATGTTGGCTGTGGGCTTCCAGTAAGTTGCCTTTGTTATGT